CTAGGATTTTTCTCAGCTAGACAGCCTGATTCACAGTAGCTGCAGCTGAAATTTACTCTGCCTCTGCTGTGGATTGTGCAATCGTTTCTTGTTTCTTCGACATCCAGCAGATTGCACCATGATTCAGGAAGAAAGTATACCCTAAAGTGCTCTTCATGTCCTCCACTGAACCACCTCAGTCACTATCTGAAAATCCGATTAAACTAAAATCTCCTGACCTCCTGTACCACACTCCAAAGCTGGTTCTCCCTTTCACATAGCTGAGCACTCTTTTTGTAGCTCTAAAATGTGTTTCTTTGGGCTGATTCATAAACCTGGACAGTAGGCTAGTTGCAAACATGATGTCTGGCCTAGTTGCTGTAAGATATAACAAACAACCAACCAAGCTTCTGTACTGTCCCTCATCAACACTTTCTGCATTTTCATCTTTTAACAGCTTTATATTTGGAACCAGAGGCACATCCACTGGCTTGCAATTTTCCATATTGAACTTCTTCAACACTTCAATTGCATACTTTTCTGATTAACAAAAATCCCAGCTGAACTTTGATGAACCTGCATTCCAAGAAAGTAAGCCATTTCTCCTAAATCTGTCATCTCAAACTCATCAAACACGGACCTCTTGAATTCTTCAAGCTGAGTTTGCTTACTCCCTGTTACAAGTAGATCATCAACATACAAGGAAATGATCATAATGTCTTCATCAATCTTCCTAACATACAATGTATGTTCATTTGGACTTCTTACAAAATCTAAATTCAGCAAGTGATCATTTATTCTGCTATACCAGGCCCTATGTGCCTGTTTTAGGCCATACAAGGCCTTTCTTAGGAGATACACTTTGTCTTCCTTTCCCTTGACTTTATACCCTTCCGGTTGCTCAATATATATCTCCTCATTCAGCCATCCATTTAGGAAGGCAGATTTGATGTCCAACTGAAATATTTTCCATGAGAATTGGGCTGCCACTACAAGTAGTAGCTGGATTGTGTCATGCCTTGCAACTGGTGCAAAGATATCTAGAAAATCAACTCCATACCGCTGAGCAAAGCCTTTGACAACCAGCCTTGCTTTGTGCTTAAGGATTGAACCATCTGGATTGAGCTTCTTCTAGAAAATCCATTTAACTTGGATCACTTTTCTGTTGTGATGTCTGTCTACCAAGTTCCAAGTTTGATTCTTTTCAATCATTGCAAGCTCCTCCTTCATGGCCACTCTCCACACCTCTGATTTTGCAGCCTCAAGGTAACATGTTGGCTCAAGTGAGGCCATGTTGCATCTCTCATAAACCTCAGCTAAAGGTTTGGTACCGCTAATTGAAATGTCATCTTCCAGATCACTCTCAACATCATCAAAAATCTGCTCATATATAGCTTCTGTCTAGCCTGGTTTTGTCTCTACATCAGGTTTGTTTTCTTCCCAATTGCATACTCCATCCTCATCAATCTTGACATCCCTGGAAATCTGAATTTTTCTGGTTTAACATATACCCTATAGGCTTTAGATTGACTACTATAGCCTATAAAAAGGCAAATTAAGGTCTTTTCATCCAGTTTGGATCTTTTCATTACTGGAACCAAAATGTAGCATACACTTCCAAATATTGTTAACCTATCTACTGCTGGTTTAACTCCATACTATGCTTCATAGGGTGTTTTGCTATCCAAGGCTTTTGTGGGAAGCCTATTGAGCAGAAAAATTGCTGTATTAACAACTTCTGCCCAAAATTTCTTTGGCAATCTCTTCTCAGCTACCATGCATCTAGCCATCTCTACAACTGACCTATTTTTCCTCTCACTGACTCCATTTTGCTGTGGAGTATAGGGGCTGCTATATTGGTGCTTAATTCCAGCATCTTTGTACGCTTGCTCAAACTCTTGAGAAGTGTACTCTGTACCATTATCACTTCTCAGGATCTTTATGGTTTTTTCTGCCTGATTTTCCACCAGTAGCTTGAACTGTTTGAATACACCAGCAACCTCTCCTTTTTGCTTCAAAAAATACACCCAACACATCCTAGAATTGTCATCAATAAATAGCACAAAGTATCTACTTCCATTCAAGGACAAGGTTTCCATAGGACCACATACATCCGTATGATGAGTTGCAGTTTTTCAGCTACTCTCCAGGTTTGGTTTGCAGGGAAGGATTGCCTACTTAACTTGCCAAGTTGACAAGCTTGGCATATGGTATCACTCTCCTCTAATTCTGGCAGGTTATGGTGCAGCTTCTTAGTCTGAATTTCTTTGAGACCTTGGTAATGAACATGACCAAGTCTCTTATGCCATTTCACAAATTCATCTACCTTTACATTGCAGGCCCTATCTTCAGTTTAATGGAAAAGCTTTTTCCCACCATTTTCATTCTCATTAACTCACACCCCTTACTGTCTAAAATTTGATGGATTTGATTTTCAAAATGTAAAAAATAATGGTTTTCTAACATTTGTCCTACACTTAGGAGACTTTGAGTAATTTCGGGTGCATAGAGTACATTTGAGACGAGTTTTGTACCTGTGGAAGTTTAGATTGCAATATCTCCCTTCCTTTTTGCTTCAACATAATCACCATTTGCAACTTTAATCCTGGACCGATGTGCTGAGTTTAATCTCACAAAATCCTGCAAATATGGTGTCATATGGTTTGTACACCCACTATCAACCAGCCAGCCATCATAGCATGTTGGTGGTGCACTGCAGGAGGCCATAAACAGCTGTTCTGCTCCTTGTTCAGGTTGTTGGTTCTCTATCACTTGAGCTTGCTGCTGGGGCTGCTCTCCCTTGCTCTTGCACACCCTCTCTATATGGCCAAACTGTTTATAAGCTTTGCATCGTATTCCTGGCCTAAACCAGCACCTTTTTTCAGAGTGCCCCTTCCTTTTACAGTGGGAACAAGGTGGATATTCTTTCATCCCACCTGGTTTTCCCCATTGGCCATTGCTCCTTTCTTTCCCTTTCTTCTCACTGGCATACCTCCTGTTATTCTCTTGAACTGGTTTGGTTTTGTGAGTTGCCATCATTGCACCCTCACCTACATCTTCTTGCCTTAAGAGCCTTTTTTGCTCTTGTGCTTGCAGTGCATGAACCAGCTCTGTGAGTGTAACCTGTCCCATGTCTCTTGAGTCCTCCAAAGATGAGATTTTGGACTCAAATCTTTCGGGTAGGCTAACCAAGACTTTCTCCCCCACTCTCCTATCAGTCAACTCCACTCCCAACAGTCTTATCTTGTTTACAACACCCATCAACCTGTCAACATAGTCCTTGACCTTCTTTGATTTTTGCATCCTCTGCATCTCAAATTCTTTCCTTAAATTGAGCACCTGCATGTTCCTTGTTGTGGTGCTACCCATGTACTCCTCTCTCAGCTTATCCCATGCCTCTTTTGGAGTCTCGTATGCCATGATCCTTATGAATACAAGGTCTGTTACAACAGCATGAATGTGGGAGAGAGCTCTTGGTGCTTTGGTTGTTTCTTCCTCATGCAATCTCATTTGATTCAGGGTAGGATTTTGTCCTAATGGAGGTGGTTGCTTGTTTTTTTCCACATACTGCCACAGCCCTTGACCCCGAAGGAAAGCCTTCATCTTTATAGCCCATATGTGGTAGTGTTCCCCATTGAATACTGGAGGTGACATCAAGGCTGATTGAGTAGCCATTGTTTCAAGTTTTGTGTCTGACGCAGGGTGAACAAGAGTGCAGATGCAGGTTGTTTTGGGCTGAAAATAGGAGGTGTTCTTGAGTTGAGGTTGATGACTGAATGTAAGAGAGATTTCAGGTTGTTTTGGTCATTATACTATAACTTGTAATATATACATAGCAAATCTTACTATTTTACCAACTACAACAACCATTCAGACTTTAAAATTTAAAAAACAAAGTTGGCAACTTAATACAAGCTTATCTTACGCTGATTACACCTAAACATGTCACAAAATTAACAACTCCAGTAGCTTCAATTTCGGCAGAAAAGAGGGAATGCACCTGCTGCTTGGTACCAAAAAACTCATTAAAAAACAAACTAACTTAACTGAATTTTCCAGCAAATTATCAATGCTTCAACAATCTGAATGGTTCAGGCATTCCCAGTTACTGTAAAGTTTGATTAGTACAGTTTTGGTGTGGTTCTTTTAGAGATCATTTGCCTTAGAAGGTGTGTAGATAAGGAAGTGAGCACACTGGATAAAGCAATTCTGACATATTGGACTTATGAATGTTATCCAGAAGGCGCATCAGGTGATCTGGTACAAAATGGCTTGGAGGCCATGAATGATATCAATAAGCTGCAGAGGTTTTGATGGTTGCAGTTTGGTGCATTCAAGAAAACCCATCTCTTCGGCCAACCAAGAGGAAGGTCATGCAGATGCTCGAAGGAGTTATTGAAGTACCTATTCCCCCATGTCCATGGCTCTTCAAAGCAACAAGCTTAAACTAGCTTGGCAGAACTACTTGCTCTCACCCAGTGCTAGTGTTTCATTTGTGTGCGAGCTTTCATGAGGTCTAAGGTGAGAAATTTGTCGTTAATCAAGCTTAACTAAATGTAGCAAGTTATATATCAACATGTGTTCTAAATTCAAGTTTTATATGCAAACAAATGATACTTTGTTAAAAGAAAACATTTCCAGAACTACTTGCTCTCACCCAGTGCTAGTGTTTCATTTGTGTGCGAGCTTCCATGAGGTCTAAGGTGAGAAATTTGTCGTTAATCAAGCTTAACTAAATGTAGCAAGTTATATATCAATATGTATTCTAAATTCAAGTTTTATATGCAAACAAATGATACTTTGTTAAAAGAAAACATTTCCAAATAGAAAGAGACATGTTATATATACACAGTTCACAATCGAGATTTACTTCCTATAAGATACTGTAAATCAGAGTATTAAGACATGCCTGTAAATTAATTAGAAAAATATTGCTTGCGTTATCTGGCTTACAGGTCAATATTATTGATACCTAAACATGCAAAATCACCTGATAACATGAGCTTAAACTGAAAAGGTGATTATATAGAACTGAAAATTGAGGATGGATCTGGCGAAATAGAGACTTCAACTGTTCCTTCCATCATCTGAGAAACTTTCTTCATGGAAAGCCTCAGTGATGGATCCTCCTGTATGCACCAGATTGCGATCATCACAAACTTTTCTACCCTCTTCATGTCTTCCATTGTCTCTTCATCATTCTCCACTAACAAGTCTAATTTCCCTTCTTTAAAGCAGTCATATGACCAATCTGCAAGTACTTTTTGACATTCTTCCTCAGCATTGGTGTCAAAGTTCCTTCTGTAGCAGACAAGCTCGAGCAGTAGAATTCCAAAGCTATATACATCAACTTTAGATGTGATGGGCAGGTTTTTGAACCATTCTGGGGCAACATACCCCTTGGTTCCTCTTATTTTAGTTGTGGTGTGAGTCTGGTCAACCTTCAACAGCTTGGCCAATCTGAAATCAGAAATTCGTGCTGTGAGAAAGTCGTCTAGCAGAATATTTTGAGGCTTGATATCGTAATGAATGATTGGATTGATGCACTCCTCGTGCAAGTAAAGCAACCCTCAGGCAGTTCCAGAAGCAACCTGTATCCTTTTATACCAATTGGGTTTTGAGTTCTCAAACAGAAAGTCTGCTAAACAGCCATTGCTCATATATTCATACACAAGAAGGCGGTGTTGCCCCTTGTTGCAGAATCCCAGAAGCTACACTAAATTCTTGTGGTTCGTTCGCCCAAGTGCAGAAATTTCAGCTGTAAATTATTCTTTACCTTCACCCACTATCGTGTTCAAGTTCAACTTCTTGACTGCAACCAATTTTTGGTTGTCACTTGCTAAAACTCCTTTGTAAACAGTTCCAAAAGCACCGCTGCCAAGCTTTTCCTTGAATTCCTCTGTAACTTTCACTAGTTCTTTGTAAGTGCAGGTTTATGGCTGGCATGCCTTTCTCTGGATGAACTATTTTTAGCTTCCTTCGATTCAAGTGGTAGCATAAAATGCAGGTTGCTAGCAGCAAGATCAGATTAAGAAAGGCTGAGCTACCTAATAGTGCTAATAAAATGTATATCAATGTTGAATTTTCCTTTTTCTTTGAACCTAGACTTGAAGAAGTGAAGTAATCTTTCCTTACTTTTATCAAGGCTTTGCCTTCGATGCTCGGATCAAACATTCCATTCGACAAAGGAACTCTCTTCTTCTAGCATTCTTCATTTCTATAAATGACAGCATCACAAAAACAGTCACTCAAGCAAACCTGTCTACACCAGTCCTCACTCACTGCTTCATAATGTTCATAATCATTTAGAGGCCAGTCTGTGTTGAGCATCTCTTTGAGTTAAAAAAGATTTATTTCTTTAGATGCTTTTTCACAACTCTGTGGAGCAAAATTTTGCTAGCATCCCTTCATCACATCATCTGGATCCGCGAAGGTATGAGGAGCGCACTGGCAAATCTTTTGTGAATCCTCTCCCAAACAACAATAACTATTTAACCCACAAGCTCCACTACCAGTATCTCCTCTAATCCTCAGACATATATTTGATGGAATAAAGAAAATTGTGGACCAACGAATAGGCCACCTCCCACCACTTGCAGCAAGGCTCTTCGGGTAGATATATCGCCTGAAAACTCCATCACTATCAACAATTGCTCTCTGGTAAAAGTCTTGTGTCGATGCTGCACTTGATGATACCATATTGAGTATGCTTCCATTCCTTGCTATAACGTATATATACCCAGACTGATTGAAAATCAACTGGAAGCCATTACCTATAGTAGAATCTTGAGTAGACCAATAAGGAAAATTTGGTGTATCAAGTGGGAATTTTGTGGTGAGTAATAGGAGATTTCCATCATTTTGTAGGTGGAACATAAATCTTCCAATTGAAAAATTTGTTTCCGAGATAGAAGCGTAGAGTTTCTTGTCTTGATTCATTATCTGTGTGGGAAGAATTGTGTCTGTTGCATTATCAAAACTCTCCCACAAATTGGCTGAATCTTGGCTTGCCAGAACAAAGTTCCCGGTGTCAAGCATTGCTGCATAGGCAACTGCCGTAGCACCAGGTTCAGCAACTTGCATCTGCTTTCCAGTGGAATCACTGAGAATAAAGTTGCCATCTGTGGTAAGTTCAACTTTTGATCCTCTTTGCACATAATTATCTCTATTGGCTGACCAGACAATGGTTCTTTCAGGTATCTTGTTAAACCAGATGGCTAGTAAGAAGCCCTGATTCTCAATTTCTCTGAAACCAACAGCAAAATCACCAGATGGCGATAACCAGGAAGGCGAGGCAGAGTCATCATCAGTCGCAGTGAGAGATGAGCCCAATGATACATTTCTATAGCTTTGAGCACCACATGAAATTGGCAATAACAGAAGAATCAAAGTGTAGAAATGACATAGAAGCACAGGAGCCATATATGTAAAGTGTTTCATTATCCCAGAAACTATAAAAGTTTAAGTGTTTAACAACAGCTTGAGTTTCACACAACAACAAAACTATAATCCTGATCCTGTATGATTGTACAAGAAAGGTTGGGAATGTTTCTATCTTTGCTGTAAATTAAATTAAGCCTAACTTTTATTTTTGACCATTGAACCATTCTAACAGTGAGTCCACCAGTTGAATCAACTAATTTAATTTATTTTTCTGTCGACCTGGATGAAGATACATCAATGAAATTTACTTGCGCAAGCAAACTACATGACAACAAATTTGTAATTTAATGAAAGGTGAAATTATAAAGTAACCACATAGTCTTCAGATGCTGGATTGGGGAGCCTCATCTGCAAATAATTTTACAGCAACATTTTGTCCTTATTCTTTCCAGTTGATAGAATATTAAACATTAATGATTCTCTTTCAACCAAGTTTTTACTTTAAAAATAAACAAAGATGAAAATAGACAAATACATGAAATCCTTAGACCAACTCTGTTCTGTTAGGCATAATATTCCTTAAGAATATGCAACACTTACATGACAGCGGAACTAAAGAGTACCTCATCACGACAAGAGAATGCTGTAATGAAAATAAATGATGACACATAAACAGGGGACATAATGAGCCTGTGACTCAAAATATAGCCAATACGACAAAGGTTAAAAAAAAAAAAAAAAAAAAAGTAAACGGAAAACTAGAGCTGGGCAAGGGACGGGTCCCTTGCAGGCCCAGGCCTGGGCCCGTTTGGGACTGGTCCCAAATGGGACCAGTCACTCATGGGCCTGGGACCGGTCCCAGGCCCATGAGAAAAATCAGGACCCGAACCAGGCCTTAGGCCTAGTCGGGACTGGTCCCATGGGCCCAGGATCGGTCCCATGGTGTGAAAATTTTATTTTTCCCCCTCAATTTTTTTTTTTATTTTAGGGCAAAACAAAATTTATAGGGGTTTTTTAGTATTTTTTTTTAGGGGTTGATTAGTAGTTTCTAAAATTTAATTAATTTAAAAAATAAATAATTAATAGTTAATTTTAATTTTTAACATAAATGTAATATTCACATTTCACACATTCACGCTTCACAAATAAACAATTAAATAATTTTTTTAATTAAATATCATCTTCAATTTCATCTCACACTAGTTACATTATTCAAATCTGTATTTCTAAAAGTTCAGTAGTTCGGGATCTTCAGGTGCGTTGTAGTCTTCTTTCGCATGAGTCCATACCTGTAAACACGTTATCACTTCAATCATCTCATCGGTTAAAGAACATCTTCTGTCTTCAATAATCCACCACTCGTTGAAAATGTTGACTCGGATGCAATTGTAGAAACCGGCACAGATAAAATGTCACGTCCCATTTGGAATATAATGGGGAATTGACTTTCTTGTTGGTTCCACCATTGAAGAATATCCATGTCAAGTTGCTCCTTCATCGTCATAAAGGTCAAGTCCCCTGTAGGTAGCGAGTCATCTCATTTGGTCTATGTATGTACGAGCTGGAGCTAGAGCTGGAGCTTCCGCCCCGTCCCACATACGCCCACTTGCTCGATCCTTGAGGGGGGCTATATCAAGCTCCTGATCGCCTCTCTAGACTTCCACTTCCACTTCCACTTCCACTTCCACTTCTACTTCCATTGTATCTGTTCTCATATAAGAAAAAGTCTATCCAATTTGTGTTTAAAGTCAGTCAATAAGACGTATAATCATATCCTAAATAATGGCCTAACCAATAATTACATCTTAACTACGGATAATTAAACCTAGGATCTAGAAAAAGGCCTAATCCATATAAGAATGGAATATCTAAACCAATATCTCTTATATTTTTCTTCCATACTTGAAACAATTTCACTTAAAATGTTATCATATCTATATTGATCAAAAGTTTAGCAATTTGAACTAAAATATCTAACACTAATTAGTAGTTGGATAATAAACCTTAATGTATTAGTAGCCCATAAAAATTCTAAGAAATGATAAAAAATTTCACAAACCAGCCCAATCATTATAGTTGACAACTTCCTCTGGATAGTCTTCCGTTGACGAAATCTGTAATTTGTTTCGCGTTGGCAAAGCTTTTTCCAACATCAAGTAGGTAGAGTTCCAACGGATAGGCATGTCTGTACACTTCAAAGGTCGAACCTGTGGCTCCTCTTGCTTCACATTTTTGACGTACTCCTGCCATCTTTATTGCTACCGTCGCCGATAAATCCGATAGCTCTATGCACCCTCTCCATCTTTGAATGTATAGCATCTAAACCTGCTTTAACTACAAATTGATGATGTGACAAGCACATCTCTGGTGATAAAATTTGCCTTCACCAAGCGGATCCAATTTCTTTCAAATAAGATATTGTCGCGGTGTTACAGCTGTATTATCAACGTTAGCGCTACAACTCTATCAGTTAATAAATATTCTTTGCAAATTTCAAGAATTGTAAAATAAATTTTCACACTATGTTTTTCATATAATGGTTTAAAACTTATCAATTTTTGTTGTAAACCCCAATTGATCTAAGAAATGTACTGTGACAGTTAAAAAATCGTTTTTGATCTATCGCCCATATGTCTGATGTAAGTGCAATAGATATTCCTAAAATTTTGAAATTCGTTTTTAGGTTTATTATTTATTTTGTATAAAGTTTTAGTATATCTCTTCTACTTGTAGTTCTACTAACGGTATATGCTGGACAAAATGCAGTTTTAATCATATTAACAAAAAAAGGATTCAGATAACAAATGGGAGAGTCCGTAGCAACTATATATCTTGTTATTTCCTCTCGTGCAACATGTTTATGTATTGCCTGTTGAAGAGTTGAGGATTGTGGATTAAAATAAGTTGAGTTTGAATTTGTCTACCTAATCCCTTGAAGATGCTTTATTTGGGGATGCTTCTTCTCTACGTGTCGTCGCATCGTCAAAGTCCCCTTCTCATCCCAATAATGGTTCCACTAAATTACATATCCCACACAATTCTTCCCCCTCCCCATTTGTCTTTGGCTGTTTGATTTGGTGTAATCGCCAGACATCGGACACGACCCTTTGTGGTCGGGGGGGTTCGACTATGTCCATGCCCGTCGACTCGCAGCTCACATGTGTTTGCTACACCTCGTCCCGACCGAATGTGGTTGTGGAATTCAAGCTGCATCCTCTGGGGAAATGGTGAAAATGGATTGAAGGCTTCATTTCTTCTTCGGTGGATGGAACGTAAAACTCATTTGGGGAAGACATTATAATTTATGATAAAATAATAATAATTAAAATGAAAGAAATTAAATATAATATGAAATTATATGATATTGAAAAATAGAAAAAATTCGAATAATATAAATAATTATAAATATAAATTGAATGAGAAATTGATTGGAGATTTGGAGTAGAGGATTGAGAGAATGAAAGAATGAGAGATTGATTGGTGTGAAAAAAATTAAGGTTTTAGGGTTATTTATAGTGTAGTTGTGGGGGGGAAAATGAAAAAAAAACTTCTAATTATATAATTATAACCGTTGGTGTGAGTTGACCGTTGGTAGCCAACGGTTAATTTTTTTTTTTTAATAAATTTTGTAAAATTTTATTTAGTCCTTATAATTTATACTTATTTTAGGGGTTTAATGTAATTTTACAAAGGACTAAAATATAAAAAGTAAAAAAATTTGACCCAGGCCCGGGCCTTGCAGGAGGGCCTAGTGGAGGGCTGCGGCCCTCCTCCTAGGCCTGGTCCCAAAACCTCCTAGGACCAGTTTTTGGAGCTGGGCTTTTGGGCCTGGTCCCAAATGCCCAGCTCTACGGAAAACGAATCGAACGAAACATTAAAAGAAAAATGACAAAACATATAAGAACTATGCATTACCGATTGAAAGATTAGGTTGAGCTGATAATAAGAGGATTGTATTAATCAACTAGTGGTAATCAGAAAGATTTTTTTTTTTTTTTTTTTTTTTTTTTTTTTTTTTTTTTTTAATTTCCAACATTCTTTAACAGTAAACCTTAATGCTAATCTCAGCCTCTCGATGAAGATACTTCATTCTTTGCTAAATTGCATTTCTAGAGAAGAGCTTCTAGATGATACAAAAATACAACTCAAACAAGGATTATGCAGAGGGGTAATACTATGCCTACAATCCAATTTCACAACCTTCTCTTATAACTCCAACATGGCAGTTGAGTTGACAACTGTTGACTAGACATGAACAACCATTTCTTAGTGATGAACGACCATTTCTTCATAAGTAATGATTGTCCCTTATGAAAGAATGACCGTTCCTTTATAAGGAATGACTGTTTCTTATGAATGGAACAACCATTCCTTATGAATGAATGATCGTTCATCCTTAAGAAACTGTCGTCTAACCCTAAGGAAGAGTCGTTCATCTCTAAGGAACAGTCATTTATGTTTAGCTAAAGTCGTCAGCTGACATGGTAGTATCAACTTTGCTATCACGTTAGGGTTGTAAGAGAAGGTTGTGAGACTTGGTTGTAAAGATAAGATTTTTGTTATGCAAGGTAAATAAAGTAAATTTTTGAGTTTACTTTCTAGTCAAGCAACTTCATTTTCCAACACTTGATTATGATTTATTTCACCAAGTGAAA